TGTCCAAGCAAACACCTCAAGGTTTGCTCTCAAGAATGCTTCTAGTTCCTTTTCTTCCACCTCGGCTAAGCCTGAGCCAAGAAGGAAGAAGCGCTCTTTATCCCCTTACTGGACCAAGACTTCTTCAGGGCTTTCTCACTTTTCTCAATTGGTTCCTTGCCGACATCCTCAAAGACCTCCATGTCCTCGTCTTCAATCTTTGCTGCTCCTGTTTCTCGTATGTTTCAGGTGGACTTCATTACTGCCATGGAGCAATTCTTTGCCTGTGCTTGATCCTCTCTGACATCCTCAATTCCATGCTCTGTTGGAAATCGCAACAGTTGGTACAATGTTGAGGGAATAACCCCCATTGCATACAGCCATGGCCTTCCCAGGATAGCATTGTAAGAGGAGGGAGTGTCAATTATTGTGAACTCAGTTTTTACTTTCTTGGTGCCAACCTGCACCTCCAAACTTACTGCTCTCAGGGGCCACGTCAGCGTTCTATTGAACCTGACCATTGGACCATTGGATTGTTCTAGATCATCTTGGTGCAAGCCAAGCTCCTTGTAACATCTGACATACATGATGTCACAAGAGCTACCTTGGTCGATTAGAATTCACTTTACTTGGCATTCTCCGATACGAAGGGATATCACCAAGGCATCGTTGTGTGAATACTATACCATCTCTAGGTTATCTTCAGTAAATGACACCACCGGTCCCTGACACTCGTCTGCCCTAGGTCTCTTTTGTCGGACTTGATACACATGTTGGAGGTGTTTTACCTTTTAAGTTTCCCCTCGTATCTCGTTCTCATTCACCTTCGAGTGAATCACAGTGATCACTCGAGGTCCGCCTGCTTGTGGTTGTGGTGTTGACAGGGGTGGTGCTGCTGGTGCCTGTGGCAGTCTCACTTGTTTTTCCCTTATCCTGGTCTCGTCTATCAGGTCTCTTAAATGACCCTGTCTTACCAGGTCTTCCAGATGTGCCTTTAAGGCTCTGCACCCTTGAGTTAGATGCCCATCCTCATTGTGATAGGCATAATGTTTCCCCAGACTTCTTCCCATAAATTCGCCACGAAACTTTTCTGATGCTCTGTAATAGGGCTAATTTAGAATTCTTTCCAAGACTTTGTAGACCGGAATTCGGAATACGGTTGTGGTTGCCTATGCAGCCTTTAGTCCTGTCTCTTGCTTGTTGTATCCACCATTACTTCAGCCTCGCTTCGGCGAGCCGTTTTTCTTCTCTTGTTTCGACGCCTTTGTCCTCGGCGTGTCCTCCTTGGCCCTGGCATACTTTTCTATCTTGGCCATAAGTTCCTCCATACTTTTTAACAATGTCTTTGCCAGTGATTTTCGAAGCATGCAATCATCTTTTAGGCCGTTCTTAAATGACACGACTGCACCTCTTGGTTGCATCCTGGTATTCGGTTGAACACCTCATAATACCTTTTGGTATAGGCCCTAAGGCTTTCATCCTCGCCAATTCTCAGAGCCATCAGGGCGTCCACCCTTAATGGCTGTAGTTTGTTTGTCACAAACCTGGCCACAAACATCTCGGCCAGGCCTTCCCAACTTTTCACAGTTCCTTTTTCTGCAACTTGTGAATCTAGTCTGATGCAATTTCCCTAAAGGATGAGGGGAACACTTTACAGAGTAACGACTCGTTCCCGGTGTACAGTGCCATTGAGTTCAGATACAAGCCGATGTGAACGTTAAGGTCCAACTTACCGTCGTATATCTGGAAGCTCGGCATATGGAACTTCTTTAGAGCCTCAAATTTGTCCAACTCCACCGAGAACGGCGTTCTCGGCTTGACCGGAGAGGTTACCTTGGCATCTTGTCGTTTCTTCTAGAGGTAATCCCTCAATCCTCTTTGGTTCATCCAGGAACTCAGCTATCAACGGATTTCAGCCTTTTCGGTGCGTTACTCACAGTATCATTATGAGTCCTCTTGGACCTTTCCTTATTAGTTGCGTCGAAACACAATTCCTTCCCTTGAACATGCCGATGTTCTTTGGGGTCAGCTTCCTTGGTACAATGCATCCTCTGAGAATCTCCCCTTCTTGACTCTCCTTGCCCAACCTTCCTTGAAGGCCGGTGAGAGTGTTCCTTGGTCCCGGTGTGCTGGAGGACTATAGGGACTGTTTTCTGCCCCCCTTTTTGGGCATTATTTTTGGCCGTTGGAATCGGCGTGTCTTGTAACGGAAACGGTAGCTGCATGACGTTGTTCTGCATCATGAAATTGACGACCGATTGTAGGTCCGCCAATTTGTTCGTCATTCCCTTTATCTCATCGTCCCTCCGCAGGTATCGATCTTTCCATACCTCGAGATCGTCCTCGTTATAGTACCCACCTCGATCTGACTTCTTTGGCATGTCACCCTCCTTGCCGACGTCTCTCTCTTCGGGATTCTGATCCCGAGTTTCTTCGTTGCAGTTATCCTCCTCCACGTTGGGGCCAACGTGCTTACCACTCCTAGTAGGGATGTCGTCTCCAACCTTTTCTTTATGTTCATCGTTGGCCATTTATTCTCCTTTCTTTCCCACAGACGGCGCCAAATTTTGTGTGTTGTTTTCTGACCACACTGCTAAATAAGTACTCAGCTGGAGAACACTAGCATAATAGATTGCGCCCAAACAACCTGTCATAGAAAGAAAAAGACTCCAGCAGTGATTCGTCCACGCGGGGGCACTCTGATGATCAAGTCAATATATAATCCATGACTTCATGTATATAACCCATGACTTCATATGAATAATTTTAGCTTAAACTTGTGTAACAAAATCACCACTTTAACAAAGTTCTCTAATTTAATCACGTTTTTTCATTGAAATTAACAAAACATTTTAGATCTGTGCATAAATATTATATGAATAACAAACATCAAAAATAACTATTGTAAAATAAATAATAATAAACATATTAACTAGACACATAGTAAAAAGAAAAAATACCATGCCATGAAATGGCTAGGTTTGTTATTGGTATTTTAGTGTTCATAATAATGATCAAATTTGACAAGGCTAAATACGTGTCATTTGTCAGTTTAATTTTATAAGTTGGGGTGAAATATTATTGCATTTCAATTTTTATAGTTAAAATGTCACTAAGAAAATAGTCATTATTAGAGTATCTTCACTACTTTATCTTTTACTTTATTAAATTTAAATTTAATAAAAAAAAATATAATTTTGGTGCTCTAACATTAATATCAAACCAGCATATGATGTTTTAAATTTTTTATCAAATTGAACATGTCTAGAGTATTTTATCAAATTTGTAAGTGACCCGTTGGGCAGGACGTCCTCTCGAACAATCTCTTCCTTGCAAAATTATCGTGCAAGTTGTGGTCAATTTACACTAACCAGTCAACCGACACTTTGATTAAAAATTTTAAATTTTTTGTTAGAATATGCGATATGAGATAAAATTTTTACTCAAATTTATAAATAAAAAAAATAGAAAAAAAAGAGTAAACGGTGGAGATGTTAAAATGATTGAGAAGCAATTAGGCACCTATGAAAAATGACGGGTCGTTCCGTTAAAAAATGGGTAGTAGAAAATTTGAACCGCATATAAATCCAAACCCGTTATAAAACAGGTCGAACCTAACCCACACAGGTCGGGTCAACAGGCACAAACCCGTATGGTAGGGCTTTCTCTATCGTTAAGAGCAACTCCAAGGGAAGAGGTAAAATGAGACTGTTAGCTATTTTAGCTCGGATGACCCTAAGAGCAACTCCAAGGGAAGAGGTAAAATGAGACTGTTAGCTATTTTAGCTCGGATGACCCTAATATTCCCACTCCAATGGGCTGGCTAAATGGCTTCCTATTTTCCCTCGCGGCTTCTCCGCTGGCTTCAATTGGAGAGTGATTGAACGCTCTCCAAACTCTTCTCTCCCGCGAAATTGATCTGCTCACGTCTCTCCCGCGAAATCAATATGCTTCGTCAGTGCGAAATCGATCTCCAAGCACGTCTCTCCCGCGAAATCGATCTGCTCCTTCAGCGCGAAAACGATCTTCTCCTTCAACGTTGTCTGCAACTCCCTCCATCGACCTCTTTTCATATGAATAATTTTAGCTTAAACTTGTGTAACAAAATCACCACTTTAACAAAGTTCTCTAATTTAATCACGTTTTTTCATTGAAATTAACAAAACATTTTAGATCTGTGCATAAATATTATATGAATAACAAACATCAAAAATAACTATTGTAAAATAAATAATAATAAACATATTAACTAGACACATAGTAAAAAGAAAAAATACCATGCCATGAAATGGCTAGGTTTGTTATTGGTATTTTAGTGTTCATAATAATGATCAAATTTGACAAGGCTAAATACGTGTCATTTGTCAGTTTAATTTTATAAGTTGGGGTGAAATATTATTGCATTTCAATTTTTATAGTTAAAATGTCACTAAGAAAATAGTCATTATTAGAGTATCTTCAATACTTTATCTTTTACTTTATTAAATTTAAATTTAATAAAAAAAAATATAATTTTGGTGCTCTAACATTAATATCAAACCAGCATATGATGTTTTAAATTTTTTATCAAATTGAACATGTCTGGAGTATTTTATCAAATTTGTAAGTGACCCGTTGGGCAGGACGTCCTCTCGAACAATTTCTTCCTTGCAAAATTATCGTGCAAGTTGTGGTCAATTTACACTAACCAGTCAACCGACACTTTGATTAAAAATTTTAAATTTTTTGTTAGAATATGCGATATGAGATAAAATTTTTACTCAAATTTATAAATAAAAAAAATAGAAAAAAAAGAGTAAACGGTGGAGATGTTAAAATGATTGAGAAGCAATTAGGCACCTATGAAAAATGACGGGTCGTTCCGTTAAAAAATGGGTAGTAGAAAATTTGAACCGCATATAAATCCAAACCCGTTATAAAACAGGTCGAACCTAACCCACACGGGTCGGGTCAACAGGCACAAACCCGTATGGTAGGGCTTTCTCTATCGTTAACAACAGTGCTCAATGCCCATCAGCATCCCCCACAGTGTACTCAAGAAGAGAGAGAAAGGAGAGAGACAAAGGTAATTTGTATCTATATCTATTTCTCTCTATATATATATAGAGAGAGAGAAAGTGAGAGAGAGAAAGTTGAGAGAAAAGAGTCATAGTATGGCGTGAAACCTCAATTCACTTCGTCACGGCTTTGCCCTTTTCCGGCCACCACTCACGGCGGCGCAACGGTCGGAAAACCAGAACAGAAAATAAAAAAGGTTACTATTTATTATCAGTTTGTCATTTGTTTCATACCCAGTAGAGGAAATCAAGATATGTTGTCGTTTCACTCAAGTTTATATGCGTTTTAGTGAGCTGTACCTTTTTTGCTTTGTTTTTCTAGGGTTTGTCAACATATTTTTGGCTTATTGGATTGTGAATTTGGTCATTGGTCGATCTGATCGATGTGGGTTTTGGATAGTCCTCGTGGGTTTTTGATTTAAATATTATCTCTTGTTTGGTTGCTGAGAAAAATGCATGTCTTGGAATTTTCACTGTTAGGGGCCTGAGAAAGCAGGAGACTGTGCACTGCAGTGCGTAATAAGGTTAACACAATCATTTTGTTCGGTTGAGGTTAGTCTTTTAGTTTATTATAATCCTGAAATCACTGGAAAGCTAGGGTTGAAAGTAGTTGCAGTTCAGTTTTGGGTTTTCATGGAGGAAGAGAGTCATTGCTTTGTTATTGAATTTTTTGAGGAATTGAGATAATGAGGCTTTAAATTTGAGAGATGAGCTATTGAGAGCATCCAATAGTGTAGTTTAAATTTTTTGATTACATATTTGTTTTGGAATGTGATTTCAAGTTGTTTTCTTAGGGTTGATTGATTTTTTGATCATGAGAAAATGTGTTAAATTTGGGAAAAAGTAAATTGGGAAAGAGAGAAGCTAATATATTTTATTTGAATTTGGTATTCTAATTTTATGAAAACAATAAGCTGAACAAGTTTTAAAAGTTATTTTTATCTTTTCTCTTTTCTATTTTCTCTGCAGCCAAGTCGATGGACATTGAAATCCTTTGGCTGTGTTTGGATTATGGATTTGGAAAGGGAAAGGGAAAGGGAAAGGGAAAAAAAGTTTAGCTTATATTTCATTCACATTTCCCTAATTCCTTTCCAAATCCCTACCAAAATCCATGATCCAAACACAACCTTTATAAAAATCAATTGGGAAATTTCCATTGTTTCCCATGAACTTGCAAAGATGTTATTCTATATATTATGTTTTTGCGCATAAGAGTGTACAGAAGCATTAGGTATGAAAAATGAGGCATTGAAGGATCCGATATTTTGTAGTTTGATTTTCTTTTTGAAGTTTTGTTTTCGGGCTGATTTCAAGTTTATTTCTTTATTGATAAATAATTTATTGACTCCAAGAAAATGTGTGAAAACTGAAAAGAAAGGAAATTTTAGGATGGATGTAAGCTAAAATTTGGCTTACTTGACTAAGGTTTCTAATTTTTTGAAACAGACTGAACAAGCTTTAAAAAATATTTTTATCTTATCTTCCTAGATTTACTCAGCAGCCAAATGGAGGGACATTGAAATTATTTACAAAACTAGTGGATTAACAAAAGGGAAAATTCCTGTTGTTTCCGTGAACTTGGACAGATATTATCTTTGTACTATGTTTATGTGTGAACTAATTTAAGATATTTTGAAGTATGATAATATAGTGGTGGCAGTTGTCGGTGGGCTCTCCTTGTATCCTACATGCATATACTAGTTTCTTAAAAGATCTTGGAACATATCAGCTAAGATTGGATGTGACTCAAGTGTTTGGTTAGCACATTATGCCTTTCAGATCAAATTTGGATGGAAGATATAGGCTCTGTTTGGTGGAGCTCTGGAATGTTAGTTCCAAAGTTTGATTTGAACATGGTGTTTGTTGAAGATTTTCAAAAATTAATTCCACACTCACTTTTGAAAACACGGTCGAAAGCGGGAAAATTTGGGCTAACCGGTCGTCCCACTGGTCGTCCCACCGGTTGACTGGAACAGTGCAATTTATTTATTTTTTTTGGCAATTGACACATGTTAATTTTTATATATTCAATAAAAAATATTTTCGGAATTTTTTAAAATTTTTTATGAGCTTTAATAGAATTTTGAGTTATGTGTTTAGTTATAAGTTATAAGTTTTTGTATCAAATATCATATGTCACATCAAAAATTTCCCACTCAATTCAAAACTCATTCACCAAACAAATTTTCCACACTCAAATCATAATTTCAAAACTCACAAACTCAAAATACAACGCTATTCTTAAATTATATTTAGAAAACTCTACCAAACGCAACCATAGCCTTTGCTTAAAGTTGATACCAACTATGGGCTGGTTTAACAGTATGCTAGCCACCCAAAACAAGTTTGAACTTCACTGGAACAGTTTTTGAATTATCCTAAACAAACACTAGAAATTTAGGGCTCATTTGGGATTTGGCTTTTTTATGCAAAAACATGAATAACTGGTGTGTTTGACTTGCTTTTTTTCAAACTTCAAGTGAAGAATGTTTTTGTGCTTTTCTCATTGTGACTGATTGTATATCTGCTCAAAATTTATTCACTCAAACAAATTATAATCTAAAATGTAGTTTTTGCTTTCTATTAGTAAAATAAGTTTGATCTTTTTTTCATCATCTTTCTTGGGTAAACTTCCTGGAAGGATTTTAAACATGATATTTTGTTGCTTATATTAATGCTGTCATTAAGTTGGCAGAGAAATGTGCTCAAATTTTGTAGTCAGGTGCATAATTGTGTTTTAACATAATAAAGGAGCTTCATCTTTATTGTTCTATTTCTCTCTTGAAGTACGAGAAAGTTGACTTGATTAATTTATGGTAGCATATCATATATAGGCATGTATAAAAACCAATTACAAGAATTGGCTCAGAGAAGCTGCTTCAACCTGCCATCTTATTCATGTATCCGAGAAGGTCCAGATCATGCCCCCCGATTTAAAGCCACTGTCAACTTTAATGGAGAGACATTTGAAAGCCCCATGTTCTGTTCTACCTTGAGGCAAGCGGAACATGCTGCAGCAGAGGTAGCTCTGACCACACTTGCAAACAGAGGCCCCTCTAAAGCCTTGGCTGCAAGAGTATTGGTGAGTGTTTAACTGAGTTTGTTTCCGTTTGTTTTATTGCCTTCTGTACTTCACTACATAGTTTGGTAGGTCGTTTTGATCATAAACTAGAATGTTTCATTGTCTTTTAGCATCAATTTATGGAAAATACCCTTTGTTGATGCAAAAGTTATGGAAATGAAGACTCAACATTTGACATATTGACCAACGTAACTCTAATGTTTGAAATAATTATCAGGTTCTAGCTGAATTAAATACAGCAGTATAATTAACAGTCATCTTCTTTAACCTGATTTGTGGGCTTTTGATTCATTTTGGGCTTCTTTGGTTTAATTACATAATGTTATTTATTAGGTTAATTAAAGGAAGGCATTGTGCTGATATGGTGTTGGTGACGGTAAAACCAACACGGAGTTTAATTAAGTGACAGTAATTAAATAATGCAATACCCAATTTATTAGTGAAGAGTCAACTTGTTGACCAAGCAATGATTGTGTCCAAAATGTAGGGGGTTAAACCGGCCCAAGTGCTTCTAGTCCTTGAGTTCAGACTTGAAAAGTAGGGGGTGAGCACGACAGCTCCATATATAACAACTAGCAACCTAAATATACAAGTGAACATGCTTCATGATGCAATGCGCCATTTAACCATTTTAAATTTATTTCTTTAATCTTATAAAGTGAATTTATCCGTTTTTATTTTCTTGGAAACTTTAACTCACTCAAGCTTTCATAAGTCTAAATAGTCCAAAATCTATAGCGTTCCTAAGACTTACCAATTATACAAAATAATCAAACTAAATGATGGAAATTCAAGGATACTCAATTCCCAATGGCAAGGGTACAAATCCGACTTTGCCAAGTCTCAAAACATCAAGTCGTGCACCAATACTTGACGACTCACAAGAGTACTTAATCAATCCAAATTTAGGGGTTACTAACTGAAAGGACTGTGGGTACCAACCCATGCAGGTTTTTGGATTTACACCGACGAGTTTGAACAAACTCGTTATTCATGTGCTTTTGGTCACACAACTAGCACAAATGACCAAACCGGCCCACAAATTGTAACTCTCAAGCCCAAATAAGTAATACCAACTCAAATCAATACGAGGCTTCCAACTATAAATTTTTAAATTCAAGAAAATATCAAACATAAAATCAAAGTCCCACAACTTAGTAAAATTTCTTATTTACAAAATGTCCACTTCATTTTTTCCAAAAATATCAACCTTTTTTCAAATTGCTCCAAATACAAATTTCTTTCAAAGTCCTCTTCTCCTACCAGCGTAATTAGGTAACTAGCTCATTTATTTTAGCAACATAACTTAGCATACCATCCTTTAGATTTTCAAGAGAATTAGTAAGCAAATATCTACATACCAAAATATTACTCTCCACAGACTCACCCAATATCAATGAAGTGTATAAAATGACATGTCAATATTTTTATTAACTCTCTTTTAGTCACATTTTTCAGATACTCTCAAGAAAAACTCTAGGAATTTCATGATTTCACACACTTTTTCAACATTTACATATACCAAGCATGCTATTTTAACTCCGATTTCCATATATGCCAAAATATCCCCAAATGCCCAATTTTCATACCATAAACATATCGACATTTTTTTTTTGAGAAAGGAAACCCCAAGCATCTCTTATACTTCAAGAATAGCTCTAAAATGAATGTACTTCAAACAGCCATTACTTATCTTTAACATACAACTTAGAAAGCACTTTTAGAAACTAGAATCAGGGAACATGCTTTTCATTGCAAAATAACTAATCCTAAACATGGCATCTAATATATTTGAAACTAAGTCTTTCTTTCATCCTAGCGAGTTAAGAAACTTCCTAGTGTACTTCAATTTAAAACTTGACATATAATGCCCTATTTATAGGCACCCAAGACAACCATAACTAAAAAATTACTAAAAAGGAAACAATACAATAATGAAATCCTAATTATTTGATATAGTTCCTAAAATTCTAAATTTCCAGATAGTCTTCAAATCTTTCTCAACCATTGCCTTTTCTGTCCTCATCACATATATTCTAACTTTTCTCTCGTTCAGGATGAAACTGGAGTTTACAAGAATTTGCTTCAAGAGACAGCTCAGAGAGCTGGGTTAAACCTCCCAGTCTATACCACGGTTAGATCTGGACCTGGCCATGTACCTGTTTTCTCGTGCACAGTTGAGCTTGTGGGAATGAGCTTTTCAGGGGAGCCTGCTAAGACCAAGAAACAGGCTCAGAAGAATGCAGCCATGGTCGCTTGGAGTGCCCTGAAACAGTGTATGCATCATCATTTTTCTTAAATTTATTCACTTTGTTAATGCATGCTTCTCATTCCTTGTTTATTCCTTTATTATTATTTTTTTTTCAAATTTTGTTAGCATGGGGCTGTGATATTTATTGCCACTACTGGTTAGTTACCTGCTAGGAAGCACGGACACTTCAAAATAGGTATCGTGTACGTGTCCATATGTTGGATACGCCATGTGGTGTATCATCTACTTAGCACTCATGTCTAGTTGAGTTTTTAGAATTTTTAATTTTTTTTTCAAAAGCTAGCTTGGTGAGAAAATGAAAAAAGAAAAATTAAAAACACTCATTATTTGAAAATATTTGAAAATATAAAATGTCTTTTTTGGTGATAAATTTTGTCAAACTAGTTTTCAACTTCTCAAACAAAATTTACAATCAAGTTTTGAAAACTCAACCAAACATATTGGAACAAGTGTCAAACTAGTAAACTTGAGCACGTATGCAACGGTAAAACTCAGGGTGTTGCAATTTTTGTACCTAACGTATTTGTCAAACTCATATGCCTTGATCTTATCAAGCATTTTGACAAGTTACACCACTACACAAAAATGTTTTGGGTTGAAATTTTTCCCCCAAAATATGTTTTGGATTTTTTCCTTGGCTACTATATGTTGTGGATTTTTTATGTACTTACTAGTAGTTAAAAAATTACCTAAATGTCTTCTGTGAATTTTAATCTGTTTATCTTTGCTCATGTAGTGGCTCAACAAAGGTCATCTTCCTCTCCTTCATCAGAGATGGAGGGCAGCGAAGAACAGGAACAAGTCGTTATCGCTCGTGTTCTTGCCAGTTTACGACCACCAGAATCAAATTCCTCTGCACGAAAAGACTGTCAAGACGAACCCAATAGATCCATTCCCACCCACAGGGATCGAAATCCAACACCACCGAGCTTATATCCTATGCAGTATCAAAGTTGGGCTTACTCTAGTTTCCCCGCAGAAATGGCCGTGTATCAAATGTGGCAAGCGCAGCAAGCACATTTGTTGCAGCTGCAAAGTCGCCTGTTGTCAATGCCGGCCCCGCCGAGTCCTCAGGTCCTTCAACACATGCAATCGGTTTTCCAACCTGAACACGATTTATATTTTTTAGCAAGGGAGCCAGAACATGTTCCTGTAGGGCCCGGACTGGCAGTTACGGCGTTGACCCCATCATTGAGCGAGCAAGAACGTATTCCAGTTGCGCCTGGAGTGACGACTTCGTTTTATGTGCAAAGCAACTCGCTCACTAGTCCAATTAGGGAGCGGTCAATGGTGACTATTCAAGAGATAAAAGAGGAGAAAACAGAAGAATCATCGAATTTATGCAATGCTGAAGTGCAGGAGCCAGTTCGGGAGGACAAACAGAATATTGGTGGCTCAGAAACCAAAGTCGAAATCAGCTCTGGTAAACCTGAAGTAAACACCACCCAACAATTTGAACGGGTCCCTCTGAATGTGAATTCCGGATTTAGGCCCATTCAGTTCCGCGATCAAATTCAACAACACAATTTCGAGTCTTATCGATCAAATCTTAGACCCCAACATCAACCAAGAGCAATTTATCACAGAATCTCTGGACCACCGTCAGCGGTGGCCCCAGTGATGATTAGAACCGTGAGCCATGCTTCTTCAGTGGGACCCAGATCCCATAATTTTGGGAATCGGATGCCTGCTCCATCGAAAATGAGAACTGGAACCGGAGCTACTCCAAATTCTACTGGAATAGAATTTGGAAGAGTGCCTTCTCAGTTCATTGCCCCAGCAGTTCAAATCAGATCGGTTATACCAGTCTGTTCTGCTCCACCAGTGAGAAAGACACCGAGTTCTAACCAGGTTGGACAATCATCCAATCAAGAAGTAAAAAGTACTGGACTAGAAGAAGACGTCTCGGCTGCAAGTTCTGAACTCAGTAAGCTTAAAATGTGAATCACAAATGAAATTTCCAAACGGTTTTTTTTTTTTCTTTCTTTCTTTAGTTTGGTAGCCTTCGTTGCTCCGAATGCTTTGAAATAATTTGAATAACATAAATGTAGTTTGGTTTCTCTTGGAAATATGGGAAACAGAGAAAGCTTTTTTATCGATAATGTGCATCCGAGAGGGTTATGATCTGAGATTTGATGAGCCTGTGAATGTTTTCCATAAGCTATTCCCTTTTTCATATTTGTGAATTCATTGGTTGCTTTTGCTTTTGTTTTCCATAGAAAACAAAACTGTGTGCAAGCAGGTGGGTAATAAAGGTGAAAAATTACATAGTGTTTTATGAATTGGATTCCATTGTTATGGGTTTAAGATTTGATGATTAGCTCAATGGTACGGGCTTGTTGTTAGCGGCTCCAGTGGCATAGGTTCAAGTCACGAAAGCAGTTTCTTTCCAGAATTGGGATAAGACTGCATAAATCTTGCTTGCTTCAAATCCTGCTTGAGCAGGAGTTTCGTGTATTGGGTTGTCTCCTTTTTTTCGTTCTCTTTTTCTTTTCTTTTCTTTTCTTCTTCTTCTTTTTTTTTTTTTTTTTTTTTTTTTTTTTTTTTTTTTTTTTTTTTGTTTTGTTTTGTTTTTTTTTTTTTTTTCTGTTTTTGAGTAGGCTTAATTACTTTTTGAGAAGGGTGTTTGCATATGAACTACTTGAATTTTATCACTGGAATGGAATAGTCGTTCTGTTAGAATACACAATTCTCAGAAGAACCAAACACTGCCTAAAGGTAATTCTGGCGAAGATTTGCTGGGACATATTCCAGTAGTACTCTCTCTCTCTCTCACAGATGATGCATTATAGTTGATTTTGAGGTGTATTTTAATTGAATTCCTCTTTGCAGCTAGGTTTGGAGGTTAAACCCTTTGTCATAGAAATAGCCCATGCTGGTTTTGTGTGGAGTTTTCATGTTCAAATAAGCAAATGCATATACAAGAGCAGGATTGCAAACGAATCGAACCGAACCGAGCTGAGTCGAGCCGAGCTTTACTGAGCTTGAGCTCGGCTCATTTATTTACCGAGCTCGTTTATTTAGCTTGAGCTCGGCTCGATAAGAAACTGTGTTCGAGCTCGGCTTGGCTTGGCTTGTTAATATTAATGAAATTTGAGTTCGGCTCGGCTTGATAATTTTTTTTTAATATTATTTATATTATTTAAATAAAAATATTATTTAATATATAAATAATATATTTATATTATTATTTATATTTATTTATATATTATTTAATATATTAGTAATATATTTATTATATAATTTAAATTAATATAAACGAGTCGAACTTATACAAGTTTGAACTCGGCTCGTTTACTAAACGAGCCTAATATTCGAGCTCGACTTGTTGACTAAACAAACCGAATCGAGCTGAACCCTTAATGAGCCGAGTCGAGTATGCTCATGAACAGTTTGGTTCATTTGCAGCCTTATACACCAGTCAAATTTTTTTTTTGATATTTTTGTTCTTTCCATGTTTCAGAAACAAAAATAAAGAAAATTTTGAAAACACCCATCATATATATATATATAGGAGTATTAAATTTTTTGTGTTGAATTGGTTTTGAAAATTCAAATTCAAAAATTTGCTTGGAGTGTTTCCTAAAAATGTGGTGGCATAAAAAAAATCCATAAATAGATTTTCAAAACATTTTGTCAAACAAATTCTATGTACTTTTTTTTAAAAAATGATTTTTCAAAAATAAAAATAAAAAAACTGAAAACGAAAATTATGCTAAACATGCTCCTTCAAAGTAGAAGTTGGCATCAATCTAAAAAAATAAAAAGTTGGCGATTGAAAAACGAAGAACAAATATATTGTTGATGTGGCTCCTCTCCTCTCCTCCCCTCCTGGGTCATAAATCTATTTTTAAAATTTTTCCAACAGTAGATTCGAACTTTTTTGGTTTGGGGCCAGAATGATTATCTTAAACGATTATATTAGAATAGTTTATTTATTTTTGAATTTTTTACAGGTCACAAATGACAAAAGGACTTTCAGATTTATTGGACACAATAAATTTTTTACTAAACTAAGTTTTTAAAAAAAATACTAAATTATATTTCATGAAATTTAGAATAAATACACTAAACCTTATAATTTGTGGGTGCTGATTTCTGACCACACTGCCAAACAGGAACTTAGCAGGAGAGCACAGGCAGAATAGATCACGTTCAAACAACCTGTCATAGAAAGATAAGACTCTGGCAGTAGTTCGTCCACCCAGGAGCCCTTCGACCATCAAGTCAGTACTTAATTATCTCTCAAAGATAGCAAATAATGCTTAATTCACTAGCCAGAATACAAAAACGTACCTTAGACCTACGAGGGTGCCTTACTTTTATAACTAGCACTAACCTGATCCCTGTAGAAGCCTAGCTTCAATGGACTTTGACTCAATGCTTATCTTGGACTCCCAGCTAGATAGAGATAAACTCCCTAAGAGCTCTATCTTTATCCAGACTAAGATCCTCCCCCATTCTAGGACTCCTATCCCTTATCCCTTCATCTCGAATTTCGATATTTCCACAGATAACCCCGGCCTAGCCGAGATCACCCCGGTGTCATGACCAAGACACATGACATCTCGGCTGACACTTCAGCGTCACCTTGGCCACGTGTTGTCATCCACAAAATATGTCCACACAACTGCCCCCAAGGTTCTATGACCTCGGCCTCCTGAGGTGATGGAACGTACATTGTTTGTCCACATAGCACGTCAGCTAAGACTTACTCCAACCTTCATGGCAAATATCATCACACGTCGGCTTCTCATGACCAAGACTATGCAGTCTACTTTATCAATGACCAAGAATGAAGAACCAAGTTCTTCGAGTTCCTTAACCGAGATCGCTCTTATAGCCGAGGTTTTTGTTTCATTAAATCAAGAACTCCAAGAGTTTTATCTGCGCATGAGCTATCACGTACGGTTTACTTAACCGTTTTCTCCACATGTTGCTCTCTCATTGGTTCGTACCTGACACGCGCTATCAGGTCGCGTTGCGTCTCGTCTGCGCACGCTGTCTAACAGACACGTCGTCTAAGGCATTCCATTATGGTTTGCCGCCCTTTCAAATTTTTAACAAAAACAACTTCTCTATCTCTCTCTCTTTCTCTCTCTCTTTCTCTCTCTCTCTCCTGTTGTTTCACTTTGCATTCCTTCATTTTTGCTCAAGCTTTCTCTCTTTAAAGCTTCTCTTCCAAATCCTCCATTGTCGTTCCTTTCGAGCTCTGCCACTGCCATATTTTCCACCTCCGGCACACTTTTCATCATCTGCTTTCGATCATTCTCATCGTCTGACTTCGACGACTTTCATATCGACACTCATTTCACTCGATAAGTTCACAATTCTTTCCCCCTTAAGTTCGGTCTCTGATTTATTTCGAACTCCATTACATGTTTATACGCTGTTTGCTGCCATTGTGAATCTGTTTGTGTTCTTGAATCTTTACTTGTGCTTTGAATTTCATCATTTTGGGTGCCAAATGTGCTTGTTTGCTACTTAGTTGTTCAATCTGTCTTTGGGCCTACATACACGGTTCATGGCCCTTGTGCACACATACACACTGTTCATGTGTTTGATGCTTTAACAGTTTGTCACTGTTCTTGGTTTTTGCACATCTGCACACACTCATTCAGTGTTCTTTAAATTTCTATTTGTTTTTTTAAGTCTGAATCATGTTTTTTTTTGTTTTTCTTGCTTATTTCCAAATCTTTTCCTTGATTTCCTGTTTCCGTATAGATTTAGGTTTAGGATTTGATAGAAACAACATTCCTTAGGGAAATTAAAACAAATTCCCTAAAGATCTTGAAAAACCCTTGCCCCAATTCTTGTTTAGGGTTTAGTTGAGGTTCTTAAACCCACACCATACATTCTTTTTTGAAACTTTGCCCTAACCTTCATAAGCTGACATCATGGGTATATTCAGGTGGAGAGTAGATACCCCAGAAAAGATAGAGTATTTCCGTCGAGAGTTCTCCATCCCAGCCGATGTTCACCTTAGGTTGGCTGGGGAGAAGGACTCTATTATGCATGATAGGGATTCCATGCCCTTCCCAGTTGTTGCTTTCATAGAGTATGGACTTAGATTCCCTCTAAACATTCTTTTTCTGAGAAATCCTTCATTATTACAAGCTCAACCGGATGCAACTGGCCATTAACTCCTATAGGGTCATCAATGGTATAATTGCTCTAGCTAGCCGAGAAACGTTAGGATAACACTAGCCGACATCCAATATTATTATACCATGTGTGGCCTAAAATCCAAAAAAGGCTACATCTATTACCTCAAGCCGAAATCCACAGCCTACAAACTCATAGCCGACCTCTCAGACTCTAACAAAGGTGTTGGAGATGATTACTTCATCGTCTCAGGCAACTAGGAATTTGCACCTGACGACGACCTTCATCTTTATCCTTCGCGCTGATCGATGTTTAAAGAGGATGAGGGTAAGAACCAAGTGTCAAATTTTCTGCTTTAAGACTTACCACTTTATTTCCCTTATATGTTCTAATGTAGGAATTTTGTTCTTGCAGCTCTCCCTCAACCCTCAAAAGATTTTCGCCAGTCCTTCTTTCCCAACAAGGACTTGAAAAGGCTGCTGAGCTTGCCAATTGACCAGCGCAAAGCCCCTCTACTGCTCAACTACATTCTAACTTACAAATCTACCTTGCCCGACGTTCCCAAGAGAAGCAAGACTTCTCCCTCTGCTACAACTCCAACAGTTGCCTCCTTACCAAGGCCAGACCAGGCCTCATCTTCTGATCCAATTAAGGTTGCATCAACATTTGCCCCCAACTTATCTCGATATCATAGTAACGACACCGACGTCGAGCTCTGCCAAACGTACTAACACGCAGAAATCGTAGCCGCAAACATCAAGGTTCTGAGGCGTCGACTTATGATCTTGCAAACCCACCTACCGCACTTCCAGTAATCCATTTCGGTGCCAAAGTAACAGTCACTTCGCAAACCGACAATTGTTGAAGACCTTTTAGCCAACATCCCAAGGGTTGTGACGGTGCAATCCTCGCCTTCTCTATCCCAATCAAAACCAAAGCCGAAAGGATTGAAAAAGGCCAAGGCCAAGGCCATAGTAACTCAGATTGAATCTAAGGACACTATGCCAATTTTGAAATTGGCTGA